AAAGTCTTACTGTGGCCTGCCAGGTCCTCATGAACTGTCCCATTTACCTCTGTGCTCATCTCCTCCTCTCCCTTCACTCACTCTACTCCGTTTCTCACTGGCCTCCTTGATGTTTCTCAGGCACACCAAGCCGGCCACTGCTTCAAGGCCTTTGCATCCACTGTTCCCTCTGCTTGGAAAGCTCTTACCTTAGAGATCTACATGGTCCATTCCCTCACCTTCTAGAGGATTTTACTTCATTGTCACATTCACATTGGGCATTCTCTGAATATACCATATGAAATAGCACCTTCTGCCCCTCCATCATGCCCAGTCACCCTTACCTGCTTTATTTTTCTCTGTTAAATTTTTCACTATCTGACTTAGTGTATGTTAACCAATTTAATAGTTTGTCTGTCTCCTGTCACTAAAATGTGTGTTGCGTGAAGATGAGAATTTTGGTTTGTTCACTGCTGAAAGCCCAATGCCTAGAATAGTACCTGGACATAAAACCAAAACCAAACCCATTGCCATTGAGTCAATTTCGACTCACAGCGACCCTAAAGGGCAGAGTAGAACTCCCCGTAGGGTTTCTAAGGAATGGCCAGTGGATTCAAACTGCTGACCTTTTGGTTAGCAGCTGTAACGCTTAACCACTGTGCCACCAGTGCTCCGCCATAGGCCTTAATAAATATTCCTTGAAAGAGGAATAAATGAATGAATGAATGAAAGGCTCAAGGCATCTAACGTCAAGGAATGTATAACCTGGTAGAGGGAGATGTAAAGTAAATGAACAAACAAGATCACTGTAGCTTGTGTCGTAGGGTAGTGACTCTGAGGCTCAAATCCCGACTCTGTTTATTAGCTGTGTCTTCAGGGGCAAATTACGTAACCCCTCTGGGCCTCATTTCTCTAATCTGTAAAGTAGGAATAATAATCATAATACCACTTTATAGGATTATTGTGAAAACTAAATGAAACAATCCATGTAAAGCACCTAACACAATGCCTGGCATGTAGTTGTTGTTATTTGCTTTGGAGTCAATACTGACTCATGGCGACCCCACCCCACGTACGCAGAGTAGAACTGCGCCAAAGGGTTTTCATGGCTGTGACCTTTCATAAGCAGATCACCATTACCTCTCTTCCGAGGCACCTCTGGGTGAGTTCGAACCACCAGGCTTTCAGCTGGTAGTCGAGTGCTTAACTGTTTGCACCACCGAGGGACTCCATTGGCATGTAGTAAGCTCTCAAAAATTATTAAGTGCCGTTATTATTAGATCAGTTGCCAGAATCAAGTGGAGACCAGAAGAGTACTATAGGATTGTCTTTATGCCACTTGGGCATTACTGAGACTTTTCTGTTGCAGATTAAAGGCTGGAAAGGCTCCCTAACAGAGAGGCTGTTCCTCGGGACAACTTTATGTTAGGTTTTTTTTTTTTTGAACCACAAATACTGCTGATTCTTACCTCCAAGCACTACAGTATTAAACATTTCATCAACCTAGGCAGGCTCCAAGCAATACAGCTATCCCTCCTAGAAACAACTCTTTCCTGTTTAAATATCAGCAACCAGTTAAACATTATGGTGGGTTTTTTTTTTTCCCTAGTAATTTTAGGCTGCAGTAAATAATTACTTAAGGCTCCATGTTAAAAGACATTTTAAAATCTTTTTTTTGCCTTGTGACACAGAGAAAACTATGTCAGAAGTCATTCTGACAATTTGTATTTTTATTTAAGTTTTATGAGTTACCCTTCAAAAGGCAATGTCTCATTGGTAAACTTTCTTAAGAGGCTGGAGCTTTGATCTTAAATCTTAGGGAGGCTTTGCAGAAATTGGAGGCGACAATGTTGACAGGTTTGTCTGTAGCTATTCTACTGCCATTAATTAAACACACACACACGCACACCCTTTATTTACCTCCTGGAGTAAATGAATTGAACTTGACTTTGAGTTTTGATGGGGAGGGTCCAGGAAAACATCAAAGAAACACTCTTAATCTAGTAAAACTCTCAGATGACCTCACCTTAACATTAAAGAGGTCTTGATTCCAACTCCAGTCTAGTTTCGTTTCTGTAAAGCATTAATTCTCCTTTATGATAAGAAAGGTACAGGGACAAATAATAACCCCCCCTCCCCCCAGTCCATCCAGTTCCAGAAGCTTACAGGCTCTTTAATAATTTTATTTCACTTCTAAAGATTTCCTTTGTAACACTGTATATACTTTTTTTTTGTATATACATTTTTTTTTTTTGCATTTTCATACTGCTTACACTTTCAAGATCTCAGCTTAAAAATCTTGAAACTTTATTTCTTTGACATTTTAATTTTAGATTTTTGGGATAATCACAGCTATCCTAAAGCATTTTTTATACTCCTAAACCTCTAGAAATGAAGGCACAGACAGGTTAAAGCACTTGCATAGGCCAGATGGTACCTTTGCAGAGACAAATCTGAAGGGATACTTGGGAGGCTTGTTTCGTATCTGCTTAGGGAACCCCGTTAGACACCTCGTTTGCTCACAGCACATAGTCATCACATACGTGCTGGGTGTCAGGTACTGGTTCAAGCTTTAAAGAGTAATGAGCAAAAGAGACACAAATCCTGCTCTCATAGAGTGTATGTCCTATTGGACAGTTCACACAATAACTAAATTATTTAAAAAGTATATTAGAAGGCTATGGAGAAAAAATAAAGCAAGGAAAGGGATGGTGTTGGGGTTCATTTGTATTCTAAATAGGGTGGGCAGGGAAGGCCTGACATTTGAAGGAGGAGAGGAAGTGAGCCATGGACATACGTATGGGACCAGCCTTCCAGGCAGAGGGAGGCAGAGAGTGTGAAGATTCTGAGGCAGGAGATGCCTGGAGGAAGAGCAGCAGGGAGGCCAGTGAGGCTGAAACAGGGTGAGTGAGGGGAGGACATAGGCTATGTAGTCAGAGAAATCCTGGGGCAGGTCATTTAGGGCCTTGTGAGACAATAATTACTTGACCTTTTCTCAGCGTGAGATGGGAGCCATTGGGGGGCTTTTGAGCCGAGCAGTGACATGATCTGACTTATAGTTAACAGGACCCCCTTGGCTGCTGGGCAGAAGCAGGGAGACTAGTTAGATGGCTACTGCATTCCTCTAGGCCAGTGGTGGTGGTAATTTGAGCCTGGGTGGTAGCAGCGGAAGTGATGAGAAGTTCGGATCCAGGATATGTTGTAAAGGTAGAGCCTAAGAATTTCTTGAGGAATTAGACTAATAAGAGTCAGGGATGTCTGCAAGATGTGAGCCTGAGTAACTGACCATGTGCTGTGTCACACATGCTGTGGTCCTGATGGTCTCCAAATTATTATCCAACAATCACTCTGGTCCTGACTGTGAACTCGTAGACTACTCTGGAAGCTGGGAGAAATACCTGTGTGGTCTTCTGAGCCGTTGCAGATGGTGCAAGGTTAGTTAATGAGAGAGAACTTTGCTTACCAATGTCATTTAGTCTTTCTTGACACCATTGGATTACACATTGTGGTGTCACATTTGGGGAGAGGAACTGTGATAGGTATTAGTGTCCTCCAAACCAGTGTCCCAGCTCTGAGTCTGAGAAATGCAAAAAAAGAACTGGGGAGAGTAGGAGGCTCATGTAAAGATAAGCAGCAGGAAAATCTGGAAACTTTCAGTACAAATATCTTTGGAAAACAAAAGTATCAGGGACAGTAAAATGTGTATCTTTCCCTTGTGAGGGCTTTTCGCTTTCATTTCTCTTTCTATGGCTGACTATACTTGGAAGATAAAAATATGATATTCCCAGAATGACCAGAGAGAGAATTAATGGACTAATAGGAAATGTGAAGCGAACAAAGATTAAGTTCCACATTTAGTCTTTTGAGGGCTGGCAGGAGGAGACTTCATGGATCACTCTGGTCAGAGAGATGGAAGGTACAGTTGCTCTCCGACAGCCACACTCGTCACTGCGCCCTCCTCAGTCTTGCCTATTTAATAAACCACTAAGCCTGTTCTGAGAGAACATGAGGACATAATTCACTATGATGGTGGCCCAGGAGAGAGCCAAAAAATCCCACTCTGTTTATTTATCATGACTCTCATTTCACATCCCTGCCTTGCTCACACAGGGCTGAGTACGCCTTAATTTGACCAAGTTCTTATCTCAGGAAGAGCAAAGGGTAGTCTGGAAGCTCTCTAAATAGGGTGCAGGACAGAATGAAGAGAATAGGGAGGCGGAGGCCAGTGGAAAATACCTTTGTGAAGCCAAGAAGTTCATAAGGCTGATGAGCTAGAGAAAGGAGCAGGTGGATGGGGGTGGGGGTGGGGGGCTAGTGCCTAAGGGCTCAGACTGGAATCTACCTCGACAGGGTGATAGGGAAGACCAGATGGACTGGCATTTGGTCAAACCAGATGGTGGGCTTTTATTTTTAAAAGGATTTGTAAATCCTAGGAACAAGGAACCATAAGGGTAGTGGGGCCTTTAATCCCATTACTAGAAGACAAAAGTGTACTCTTTAAAAATGTAAACTCACTGGTTTTAGCACTTCTATCATCTAAAGCTTTGGGACAGACCACCAGGTTGTGAAACTCCAAGGACTCAACAGTGCTCATTGACGGGAGGAGAAACTGCAGAAACATTAATGTTAAGACTGCCCCTTAAGAACTTAAAGTCAATATACCAAATGTTAATATAACTGTGTGAAATATATTAACTAATTTTACTCACACAATGAAGCTGGAAGAGCAACAAACAGTGTGACAGTGGTTGATCAATTATTTAGTACATTTGGAGTTTGCAGTGTGGTGAATTTGGAACTTTAAGCACCTATTGCTTTCCAAAAAATGGTACTCTTGTGCCCTCCATCCTCAATTGTAGTGTCTAGACTGGCCTGGCCTCAGTGCATCCACAGATGCTCTCCTAGTCCTGGTTTATTCTGCAGTCCATGTTTCTATCTCAGCCTGTGTTTGAGGGTCCAGAGTTACTGTAGACTACTTTCTTTCATTGACTGATTTTGTTTGTTTGCTTTTATCTGTAAAGGTATGGAAACCTGACGAGCCCAAACTGTGAAGACGATGGAAACCAAACTCCATCAGAGTCCAAGACGGTGATTAGGAAGTGAGTGTATCTTTTCTCTGCATTACAAACTCTCAGTCAAGACTTTATACTTTTAGAGAATGTAGTTTAGTAGAGTTTTATTTATTCCTTTGGAAAGTTGCCATGGTTTTTCCCATAATGTTTAAGACATAGTTATTTCTTGACTAACAATATTCATTTATTCATTCAGGAAAAATGTATTGAGCACTTATGCCAGGCACTGTGCTAAGGGATACAGCAGTGAACAAAGAAAGAAATCTCAGCTCTCATGAAGCCTGCATTTTAGCTGAGAGAGACAAAGAATACATGCAAAAAAGTGAAGAAGAGTGAAGCAGAGTAAGAGGCCTAGTTCACGATGAGGAGTGTGGGTTGTTTCCCATGGGGTGCCAGCAGTGGGCATTGGAGCAGAGACCTGAAGCATGCGTGGACTGAGCCTTGTTGATATTTGCAGGAAGGACATTCCAGGCAGAGAGAATAGTCATGGAGAAGGCTATCAGGCAGAGCAGTGTCTGAGAAATAGTAGGGAGGCAGATGTGTATGGAGCAGAGTGAGTCCTAGAAGATGAGATCTGCAAGCTAGTGAAGAGCCCAGATCAGGTGGGGCCTTCTTGAAAGCCTTGGGAAGGACATTGAATTTCATTCTAAGGAAGATAAGATACACTTACAGGATTTTGAGGAGAGCAGGGCTATGGCCTGACTTATATTTTAAAAGGGTTGCTTTGGTTTTATGTGGAAATTAGACTGTGGCAGGGACAGTTGGAGCAGAGAACCAGTTAGGAATTAGTTACAAGGGTCCAGGCAAGGAATGATGGTAGTGTAGACAAGTAGTAACAGTGTAGGTGGTCAGCTTCTGGAGATATCTTGAAGGTGTTGCTGGCAGGATTTGCTGATGGAGTGGATGGGCTGTATGAGTGAAAAAGAGGAGGCAGGGATGCCTCCAAGGTTTGTCGCTTGAGTAACTGATGAAATGGAATCCTGGCTTTAAGAGAGAAAGACTACTGGGGGAACAGGTTTTATTGAGGAGAAGGACGATAATTTAGTCTTGGACATATTAATTTAGAGGTAATTGGATAAGTGAGTTTAGATTTCTGGGAGCTGGATAGACTGGAGGTATAAATTTTGGAGCCCAGAGTTTATACATGGTATTTAAAGCCTCGGATTGGATGTGATCTCCTAGGTAATAAGTGTTGATAGAGAAAAGCTAGGTCCGAAGACTGACCCTTGGGTTCTTCCAGTGTCAGAAAATATGTCAGAGTCAGGAAAATAGAGGCACCCATAGAGGAGACTGGGAAGGAGCAGCCAAGTGAGGGAAGAGAAGAAAGAAGAAGTTGTGTCCCAGAAGACGAGTGAAGGATTTCGGGGAGGGAGTGACCAGCTATGCCCAGCACTGCCCATAGATCAAGCGAGAGGGTTCTGGGAAGTGCTCACTGGGTTTTTCAGTGTGGAGGTCCCCGGTGGTTCTTGGTAAGTGCAGTTTTGGTGGATGGAGGTGGGGACAGAAAGTCTAACAACCCTCTGGAGAAGTTTTGCTGTAAAGTGGAGCAGAAAAATGGGATGGAGGGTGATCTGTGGGCAAGGGAGGTTTTTTGTGTGTATTTGTTTTTTTTAAATGGTGTTTTCAAAAAAGGGTGCCTGAAACCACTGGTGTTAAATATTCATCTGGGGCCAAATGTCGGGGGGTAGGGAAGGTCATATGGAATTTTTAACTGCTCACAGGATTTACTGATGGACTCAGTTGCTTCAGGAGCCAAGGATGAAGCAAGAGTCAGAAAACCGAGTAACCTAAAGGTCGGCAGTTCAAATCTACCAGCCGCTCTTTGGAAACTCTATGGGGCAGTTCTACTCTGTCCTGTAGGGCTCGCTATGAGTCAGAATTGACTCGACAGCAGCAGGTTAGGTTAGTTTTTAGATTGGCTCCATGTAGCTTTATAATTTTATTTGATGGGCTATAACTTTCTGGAAAATCAGACAAACTTGTTTAGATATTTGAGTCCCAAATGCAAGGCATGGTGGGAGGAACAATTACTTATTCCTTAAAGTGCTTGGAGAAGGCCTCTTGGAGGAAGTGACATTTGAGCTGAGTGTTGAAGGATGGTGAAGATTTTGGTGGTAGAGCGGTCCAGGAAGAGGCAACAGTGGGACCAATCAGGAAAATGCAGTGTGCATGACATTTTGGGAAGAGCACATAATTGGTGTGGCTACTTCATAGTGTACATGTTGGGTGAGGGGAGTCAGTGGAGCTAAAGCTAGAGAGTTAGATTGGAGATGTATCATGAAGGGGTTTCATTTCTTACAAGAGGGTTCGGACTTCACCTAGTATGTGGTAGGGAGTCAGTTATAAAAAGGTTTTACAGGAGAGAAATAATATAATCAAATAGGTGCTCTTTTGGGAATGGATTAGAATTAAACAAACAAACAAAAAAAAAAAAAACAAAACAAACCAAACCCATTGCCGTCGAGTTGGTTCCAGCTTATAGTGACCCTATGGGGACAGAGTAGAACTGCCCCTCAGGGTTTCTAAGGTGGTGATCTTTACGGAACCAGACTGACACATCTTACTCCCAAAGAGAACCGCCGAGGGCTTAACCACTGCACCTTGTTTCTCAAAGTGTGGTTCATGGACCGGCAGCATCAGCCTCACCTGGGAGCTTGTTAGAACTCTTAGGCTCCATCCCAGACCTAATGGTTTAGAATCTGCATTTTAGCAAGATCCTCAAGTGATTCCTATGCACTTTCAAGTATGAAAACCACAGGATTACAGGTTTATTTTTGTTTTTTAAGTTATTTATCCATGAAAATGCACTAATTTTTTAAAAGCCCGTTTTATAATGTGTATTTTAAAAATGTATACAAACGAAGAGACTGTAAGATTGAGTGGCCAGCTTGTCAAGTATAACTTGTGACCAGATTCAGAAATAAGCGTGTTCTTATTTACATGTTTTGGAGCTAAATCAAATCCAGAAGTATTAATTCAGCTAGTCACCTGAACACTCTGAGGAGAGTAACATTCTGAAAAATATCCGGGGCTTTTTGGGAAATAGCAGTTAAGAAAATTGATTTGTACTCTGGATGTGAAAAGTTGCATTCATTATTTTTAAAGGCCCATTATAAAACTTCATCCAGATTCATTGTACACCAGAAACACTAAAGTGGGTGAAACTCCAGGATAAGCTGTTTTAAAGGGCTTTACAATTTTTAAAGCATATGAGGCGTTAACAAAGAGCTTCACAGAGAACTCCCCTGAGGGACAATGGTCCTTTCCCAAAGCCTTACAGTGAATTGGTGGAAAGTTCTTGACCCTTTTTTTCAGACTGAGTTCCCTTTTTAAAAATTAATGTCTGATGAAAATATGTCACTTTATCTTATAATGGGTTGCTCTGTCTTGCAGATTCTGGAATGTTAAAACCTCTTCTCTCTGCTGAGTTGTTTGTTCCTTCCACTTCTCTTTCTTCTATCCCCTCCTCCCCCCACCCCACCACCAGTTCTCCTTTTATTCTTTTTTCACCTTACTTTACCACTATCTTTTTCTCTCTTTCTGAAGTTGTTATTCTGATCATTTCTGTGACTAGATAGGGTCATTGCTTTGTCTTTTGGAAAGGAAATCCAAGGAAACACCTTTGCACATCCATACATAATGTTCCTCGGTCATCCCAGGCCTCTGGCATCTGACTTGTAGCAATGCTAAAAGGCTTCCCCATGGTCATTAGATGTGTAGGAGGTATGGCTATATGGTGGTGGTTCTTAGTGGGCAATTTTTTGCAGCCCCTTCCCTGGGGACATTTGTTAATGTGGAGACATTTGGGTTGTCTCAACTGGGTGGGGTCCGGGGTGAGGACTATTACTGACATCTAGTGGGTAGAGGCCAGGGATGCTGCTAAATATTCTACAATGCACAGGACAGTTCTTTATAATAAAGACTTATTACTACAAAATGTCAGTAGTGCTGAGGTAAGAAACTCTGTTATGGTGATGAGGCTGCAGTCCTCAAATGAAAACTGACTTTATGAATATCTAAATAGGTATTAAATAGGAGCATGCTTATTTTGAAATTTATTTATTTCATGTACCTTTTTATATAATTAGAAGAATCAAATGCTGTGACTGTCAGGAGCCAGCCACATGGAAGGTGAAGGGCCCTAGACAAGGAGCCTGGATAACAGATTCCAGCTCCTTCTCTGTCACACTGTCATGTACCAGCCATATGACCTTGAGTTGGTCACTTCACCTCTCTTAGTCTCAGTTTCTTCACCTGAAAAATGAGTATTTGGAATGTATATCTCTGAGGTCCTTTCAAATTCAGCCATATCTAGGATAAAGTTTATTTATCTCTCTCTTCATCTCTTTTGGAAGCCCTGGTGGCGTTACAGCGATTGACTGCTAACCAAAAGGTCGGCAGTTCAGATCCACCAGGTGCTCCTTGGAAACCTTATGGGGCAGTTCTACTCTGTCCTATAGGGTTGCTATGAGTCAGAATCAACTCGATGGCAACGGGTTTGGTTTGGTTTTGGTTTTCATCTCTTTTAAAATGAAAATGAATATCAGAAACAGAAACAGAGATATGGTCCAAATATTATATTGAATGTTTGAGAAGTACCCTTTACTACTCTTCTCTGTTGAAGGACTGTATAACCAGTTTTGAATCAATAGGAAGAAAAACATAGCTTCTTCAGTTTGCTTGTTGCTAATCATGACATCACAACTGCTCACTGGGGTCATAATCAAAGAGTTTCAGCATTGTCTCCTAGGGAAACTGCAGGGAGTGGCAAGATGCCTGTTGCTTCCCTTCCCTGAATCTCTTGTGATTTCAGGTGGGAAGCAGACAACAGAAATTCAGTGACATTCTAAGAAGTAAACATCCTGTTTTAGGGCAGATGTCTTCAGTTTTACAGACTGGGGACGGTGTTAGGAATTACTGTTGGGTTTAACCATGAATAGAAAAATGCCCAGATACTGTTTGGTTTTTCAGTTTTTGCTGTACAGCATAGACCAAGCCTTATATTTTATACAGGCTTCCAAGTACTA